AGTGTCTTTATCTGGTTTTGGTATCAGGGTAATGCAGACCTCATGGAAGCAATTCGGGTTTTCTTTCCTCTTCTGTTTTTTGGAATAGTTTGAGAAAAATGGGTATTAATTCTTCTTTACGTGTTTGATAGAATTTACCTGTGAAGGCGTCTGGTCCTGAACTTCTGTTTGTTGGGAGTTTTTTGATTAGTGATTCAATTTCATTGCTGGTAATTGGTCTCTTCAAATTTTCTATTTCCTGATTCAGTTTTAGGAGGTTATATGTTGCTAGAAATTTATCCACTTCTTCTAGGATGTCCAGTTTGTTGGCATGTAATTTTTTGTAATATTCTCATATAATCACAAATCAACCCTTTGACATTAAATGTGATTTATAAATCTAATAGTATTGATTGAAAATAGAAACTTTTGAATTAGAAATTAATTTGGTATTTTGACAGAGGTAGAATTCCTATTTTGGTGTGCATCCCAGCTGTTCTGTCTATATTAGACTGCATGTCTAGGATGAACTCTGGGCAGAATTCACATTGGCTTTGATTGAAACAAATCAGACTCATGAAGTTCTTAGGCTGCCTGCAAAACCTATAGCCAGGCACTGAGCCATTTTCACAGAAGCTATAGGCTTTATAAATGTTGCATGTTTCAAAGAGTCCCGGGTGGGTCCTGGTTTATGCTTGTGCGGAGCAGTGAGTAAGTTGGTAGAAGTGGTGAGTAACCTTCAGGGAAGCCAGTTTGGTTTTCTGGATCTTCTTAGTGTTAAAGCAGTTAAAGTGGTACATTTTCATTCTTGTCAGGTAATAGCAGATATATTCTGAGCCAGACTTGAATGTTTATCCTCTCATCTCGTAGGATCTAGCAAGGTCTGTCTTTTCCCAAAACTTGAACTGAGTTTCAGTTTATAAAATTTAGAAAAGTAATATTTGCTTGTTAGAAAGTATTTTAGAAATGTTCCTATAGGGGACACAAATGTCCCATTTCCATTCTTTTTGTAGTGAAAGTGTTCTGAAATACACATGATGTGAATGTTTAGCAGACACATTAGTACTTTATGCCAGATCTTAAGATCTGGCATCATCTTTTTTCCCCAAAAATATAATTTTTCTTGCTGTGTATGAAAGTAATATGTGTTGGTTTAAAAACAAGTTAGTACTGACTTCCTACCACCCTCAAACTGGCTGCCGAGCGAGTGCCTGGGCACTACATGCCACAGGGCTGTGCCCGTGTTCATGTCCTGGTCCACCTACCTGAATCACTGCCAGCTTCCTGGCCATGTGCATAGGTGGAAATGGTGTGAAGGTAACACCAGCTGGATAAAACAATACCTAAAATTCCACCCAAGTCTGGAGAACTCAAAACTGACCTTTTGGGACAGAAAAAGTAACACGAACCTCAGATTTTTCAGAATATAATTATGAATTCTGTGAATAATATTATAAATCTTAAGTATGTATTTTTAAAATTTATTGAAAGCCTAGCTACCTGTCCTTAAGCATCTAACATAGTGCTGACGGAAAGGTGTTCAATAGATGTTTGCTGATACTTTGAGATTTAATTATGGTTTGACCAGTATTTCTTGAAAACTGCCAAAGCTCTTATCATCATCTTCTTGAATGTGGTTTGGAAGATATTTAGTCTTGAATATCATGTGAAGTAGAGTATTATAACTGGTTTATTTCTTTGAATTTTAAATATAATGATGAGTAGGAATTATAAATCACCTATGATAAAAAAAAAAAGTGAAATTGACAATGAAAGAAAAGGCCAGGTCAATATTAAAGTGTGCAACTCAGCGAGTTCCCCCTTCTTGTAGTTGACCACTGTTTGGTATATTCCTTCATGCCCACCCACCCTTTCTTCCTTCTTCCACTCCTTCCTTTCCTCCTTTGTTCCCTCTCCCTTCCCCTCCTCACTTCTTTTTTATTTTTTGGGATTAGAATTTTTGTTTGTAGATTTTACTTTCATACATCTTTCAGAATTCCTGTACTTTTTAGATGTGTGTAAAAAAAACACATAATGCCACAAATAATTTAAAAGAAAGACTACTGAATTTTTTTAAAAAGCAGTATATACTCAATGAAGGAAATTTGCAATATATAGTATAAAGAACTAAGTAAAATCACTATAACTCTCTTCCCCGAGATAATAGCTGTTATGATTTTATTATATTTTTTCTGTATAGGTACATGTATAATATTTATAAAACTATAATCATAGTACGTTTTACCACCACAGGTACCACATCATCGGTTTTATTCAATAGTTTGTATGCCAGCTATTGGGCATACGAAGACAGCCAAATATGGTTCTACTCAAGCAATCGTGGAGTATCTGCTAGGAAGGCACCTCATGGATTGATTATAACAATCTCAGACTTCTAAGAGTTTGGGTTTTTAAGAAATCACTTAGCTTTCTTGGTGATTTTTTTTCCCCCTACTCTGAGGTGAGAGAGGCTGTTTGTATTTGGGGTAGGAAACAACAGCTTTTGTTCTGTGTGATTTTTTAACTTGTTAGACTACAGTGTATGAAAATTTTTTTCTACAGTGTTACTAAAATCGTTTTTACTAAAATTTCAAACATACTCAAAAGTGGAGAGAATAGTATACTGAATCCCCATATGCTCATCAGCCGTGTTTAAAATGTTATCAAGATTTTGCTACATTTGTCTTAACTCTTTAAAGTTTTTTGTTTTCTCTTTGCGGAGCTAAATGAAATTTCATACATGTCATTTTACTGATACAATCTTAACTATTCATCTCTAAAGCATACAGTTCATTTCTTATATAACTATAATTCATTGTCATACCTACAAAGTTACAGAAAATTCTTGATGTCTCATACCTAAATTTCTCTTTTTTTGTTTTTATTTTTATTAAAAAAAATTTTTTTTTTACATTTATTTATTTTTGAGAAACAGAGTGAGACAAAGCATGAGCGGGGGAGGGGCAGAGAGAAGGAGACACAGAATCCGGATGCAGGCTCCAGCCTCTGAGTATGCGGTCAGCACAGAGCCTGATGCGTGGCTTGAACCCATGAACTGTGAGATCATGACCTGAGCCGAAGTCAGACACCCAACCGACTGAGCCACCCAGGCGCCCCTAAATTTCTCTCATAGGCTAAGGTTTTTTAACATCTAAATTCAGTCGTGTAATGCTGTCACTGAAACAGTCATATTTCTTTTTCAGATTAGTGATGATGAACCAGGTTATGACCTAGATTTATTTTGTATACCTCATCATTACGCTGAGGATTTGGAAAAGGTGTTTATTCCTCATGGACTAATTATGGACAGGTTAGTAAGATCTTAAATTGAAGTTTTTGGTTTTTTTCTTAATTTCTATTTCTGTTTTTTCTTAGTTTTCTATTTCAAGTGTCAGCAGCTGTTTTAAGGCATTGATGTTTGAACATAAACTAGGCCAGCTTGTCGAATAATAGAGGTTTTCTGTTTTAGAGCCCTCTTTACAAAAAAGTTGGGGGGAGAGCTAATTACCCAGTGTAAGTCATGGTATACTGGGAATCTGTAGGGAGTAGAATAAAGTAAACATTGAAGGGACATTGGAGGAATGAACTGTAGTAACAGTCTTTGATTGCTCAGCCTTGAACAGGATAATGGGCTGGGGCTAAATCACAGGAGGGGAAGGTAATGTTTTGACTATTATGCATGTCTAGCTTGAAAAGTTCCCCTTAAATGAATTGCAGTGAGAGACCTTACTTGGTATTTAAATGCTTGCCTTGTGTGGCTATTTTGTTTTTGACTTTAAGGTTATAGTATCAATATATAGCTGTTGTAAAATATTCTAAGGATTGAGGCTTTAAATGAGTAGAGTTCTTCTTCTCAGCCTCCTGCATAGTCCTTCGTACACACTGGCTATGCACATATGCTGTATGCAAATATATGTACAGTAACTCTTGAACAATGTGGGGGTTAGGGATGCCACCATCTGCGCAGTCAAAATCTGTGTATCACTTCTGACTCCCCTTAAAATTTAACTATTAATAGCCTACTGTTGACCAGAAGTCTCACTGATAACATATAGTTGATGAACACATATTTTGTATATGTGTTATATACTGTATTCTTACAATAAAGTAAGCTGGAGAAAATATGTCATTAATAAAATCATAAGGAAGAGAAAATATATTTATAGTATGATATTTATAACAAAATCCATGTATAAGTGGACTTGTGTGTGCAGTTCAAACCTGTGTTGTCCAAGAGCCAACTGCATATATTTTAACACATAGGCATGTACTATCCTATAGGTCTGAAGTGTATTGGAGATGTTTTCATATTAGTATATTTAGAGCTTTCTCCTATATTTTGAAGGTGGTACTGTCATACAGGTCTGAAATTTATCGGGCACTGTTTCATACTAGTATGGTTAGAGCTATCCTATATTTTGAAGGTTGCATAACATTCCATTTTCTGACTGTACCATAATTGATTTAAGCAGTCCTTTATTGACGGACATGCAAGACATCACCATTATTTTACAGACCATACTAGAAGGGAACATCCTCTTATACACATTTGGTCACTTGCTTCAGCTTTATCCATGGGGAAAATCTGGGTCAAGGGGAAGGTATTTATTGAATGCTTCTGATACTGCCAGATTATGCTCCAAAACGTTTTAATTTATACTCACAGTGGTATACGACAGTGCTCTTTTTCGCAGTCTCTTACAATATTGCCTATTATCAGGGAAATCTCATTTAATCAGAATTTGCCATTCTGATAGGTGACAATGGTATTTTAAATTGCATTTTAAATATTTATTTTTTTAATGTTTATTTATTTATTTTGAGAGAGAGAGCAAGTGGGGGAGAAGCAGAGACCGAGGGAGAGAGAATCCCAAGCAGGCTCTGCGATGTCAGCTCAGAACCTGATGCGGGGGTCGAACCCATGAACCGTGAGATCATGACCTGAGCTGAGACCAAGAGTCGGACACTTAATCGGCTGAGCCACGCAGGCGCCCCTTAAATATTTATGATAGATGTTACAGTATAACTGTATTTTGAAGTTTATCTTTACTTTATGAAACAAGGGTATACTTCATGGGGGACAAAGGATGTGTTTGGTGCAAGTTTAATGCCTAAAGGGGATGTTTGTTATAAAGCTAAATATATTTCTATTATATTGTAAATTAATTTCTATTAAATTCCTGATACTTCTCTAGGACCGAGCGTCTTGCCCGAGACGTGTTGAAGGAGATGGGTGGCCATCACATCGTAGCCCTCTGTGTGCTCAAGGGGGGCTATAAATTCTTTGCTGACCTGCTGGATTATATCAAAGCACTGAACAGAAATAGTGATGGATCCATTCCTATGACTGTAGATTTCATCAGACTGAAGAGCTACTGTGTAAGTATATTTAATATATGCTTATAAAAACCTCGGTAACTGTACGTTTTTCTGTGTGTGTTTGAAAGTCTACAAACCATACTTACATGTTCATTGCACTTGGTTACAGTGACATTTTCTAATCTATTCACTACTACTTTGTATACAAGTGAATATTGTCTTTTCCAAACTAGTCACCTTAGACTAGTCACTTTTCTTAAAGGATTTTTGATCTGGTTTTGTTTTTCTGGTTTTTAAAAAAATTTTTTTTTTTCAACGTTTTTTATTTATTTTTGGGAC